GAAAAAGAGAATCCATGCAGGATGGAGTGGATGGAGAAAAGTTTCAGGAGTGATTTGTGACAAAATGGTGGCAGCAAAAGTCAAAGGAACAGTTTACAAAATAGCAGTGAGACTAGCTGTATGGTCTGGAAACAGTGGCATTTAAAAACAAACAAATAAGAGACATAACTAGAAGTAGCAGAAATTAAGATGTTCAGGATGGATAATATTAGGAATGAGATCATCAACGGTACAATTAAGGTTGAACAACTGGGAGATAAAGTTAGAGAGGTCACATTGAGATGGTTTGGACATGCCCAGAAGAGAGATAGAGTAGGACCCTAGTGAGGGTAAAGAGCTGGCCAGTGTTCCACGGCCAGGATGAAACCCACATTGTTCCTCCTGGATCTGAGGATCGACCAAACAATCGGACTTGCTTCTCCAGTACCCCTGAAAAGATCTTACCAGGGAGGATAAGTAGAGTAATGCCCCTGTAATTGGAGCACACCCTTCAGTCCACCTTTTTGAAGAGGGGAACCACCACCCCAGTCTGCCAATCCAGTGGCACTGCCCCTGCGATCTTGCAAAGACTTGTTAACCAAAACAGCCCCACAACATCCAGAGCTTTTTAATTTTAATTTTTCATTTACCCCTTATTTATGCAGGTAGTCTCATTGAGCCACGAGAACTCATTTTCAAGAGAGACCTGTTTAGGGAGCAGATGGGTGTTAAGGGCCTTGCTCATGGGCCCTAGAGTGTGGCGAATGAGGGTGGGAGCAGTTGTGGGTGCTTCATCTACCTTATCCACATTTTTGATGCTGTCGGGAACGGGGTTTGAACCGGCAATCTTCCGATCACAGGCCGACCTTCTCTAACCTTGCGCCACCACTCCCCCACTTTAAGGAAATCAGGGTGAATCTCATCCACCCCCAGAGCCCTGCCACCATGGAGCTTTTTAATTACCTTGGCGACCTCAGCCACAGTTATGGACAGATCAACCCCAAAGTGCCCAGACTCTGCTTCCTGCATGGAAGACGTGCCAGTGGGATTGAGAAGGTCAGAGAAGTATTCCTTCCACCTTCCAGTGACATCATTGGTTGAGGTCAACAGCACTCCACTTTCATGGAATACAGTGTTAGTAAAGCACTGCTTTCTTCTCCTCAGCCACCTGATGGTTTACCAGAATTTCCTCGGAGCTGACCAAGAATCGTTATCCAGGGTCTCACCGACCTCGTCCCACATCTGAAATGTTGCCTCAGCAACAGCCAAAGCTGCGGACTGCTTGGCCCTCCTGTACTCCTCAGCTGCCTCCGGAGTCCCAACAGCCAACAAGGACCAATAGGATTCCTTCTTCTGCTTGACAGCCTCCCTAACCCAGGACTTTGGGTCTAGTTTAATAGAAAGAGAACTTGAAAGAGAACTTTATACATTTAATTTACAAAGTACCTATAACGGATGCAACTTCATTTTTGTTTATTGTAAACTCACAGAACACTGGTATTAGCTAACACATCCAGTCTTAATGGCCCAAATAAAAAACCCTGAACAGATCGTAATGAAACACTTAGAAATATGTGCACCTTACAAACTATAACTACGTTTTACAAATATCGAGCTAACATTTGATGTGGTCACAGCTGAGAGTCATCCCCAACACCTGAAGCACTAACAGAACACATGAGGTCTTTATATTAATTTTTGGTATAAAAAGCTGTGGCAATGCACTTTTCTTTAAGGAATATTGTTTAGCTATATGTTGTCACTTGGTAGCAGAAAAATATGTTGCTCAAAGAAAATGTTCAGAATGGGGATTTGTGGATTATGTTGAGCTTTTAATGTATTCTTCTTCATTTTGAGCACTACAAGCAGAGTTCATCAAGTCTGATCAATTTAAGAACATACAGCCATCTCTTGGAACAATTTATTCATAGATTCAGTGACTAACACCAAAACAGTCTGGACAGATAAACAGCACTATGGGATGACAAAAAATAAAAAATAAAAAACTTTATGTTTTATTTGAGTTAGATAATTTTTCATCTGTTAGTGCTGTGAATATGGCTTATTTGAAGGTGAGCATATCAGCATTTTTATTATTTTGATAGGAACTTTCAGTCAAAACAGAAATGGAAGAATCAAATAATGTGCCACCGCAATACCAGGAAAAAGAAGGTAGAAGTGAACTTTTGCACACGCAGCTAAAATTATTTTTTCTCATAAGGAGCCAAAACTCTCTGGCTGTCGCAATAAATGCTGCAAGATCATTATTCATCATCGTCTTTCAGATGATCCACTTTCCTTTCACCTTCTGTTTTCCAACTACAGATCTAAAACCAGGAGAGCTGAAAGCTACCAGAAGCAAAGCTCAGCTAGTGAAAACCTGTTTTTTTTAGCTGTTAAAAGTAAGAATCTCAATCTTGACTTGGATTGACTCTGAAAGGTAACCAGTTGTACATATACAAGCAATGATTACTTTCTTGTCTGGGTTTCTGGCTGAACAGTGGTGCAGGCAGGACTCGGAGGCAGATCGTAAAATGAAATATACTTTAATAAGGAAAGAAAGGAGGCCGACGTGGTAGCAAAACTTACAGGGCTGGATAACAAGACGGGACCAGGACAGGACGAGACCATACCCAACAATGAACCGACACTCAATGACACAAAGACCTAGACTTAAATACACGGACTAGACAAGACAAAATTACAAACAGCCTGACAGGACGCACAGGTGATACTGATCTAAATAACAGGATGAGATGCAGGGTGGCCACAGAGGGCACCATCCTTAGATTTCTAAAAGCTTGATTAAAACTGGTCAAGTGACATGTGACATTTTGATAACAAACAAACAAGGTTTACTTCAACGATTTGAGCTTTAGATGGAAAAACGTTGTGTGAAACGTAGCATTTTGAGCATGTGCTTTGAATGACTCTCATCTACAACCACGGAAAATATCATGTCAAAATCTACAAATCTGATATAATTCACATTTTGCATTTTTTATGTAATTTGGCTGTGGTGGCCATCTTGAATTTAGGCTTACAAAGATAAGCATTCATAATGTTACATGCAATGAATATTTCCACAGTTCATGAAAATCCATCCAGTGATATGTGAGATATTTTGTTAACAAATATAAAGCCGATGCATTGGTAATGACGAAATCTAAAAGTTATTTTGTGATCAGTTAGCAATAAAAATATGTGTTGAGGATAGGCCCCAACTTCCATAAGAAATTTTTTCTTAAATATTTGTAAACATTTTTGAACTGTAGATATTGCTTGAGTTTTTAAGGTCAGTAGCAATGAACCATTGAGTCATGACACCAAATTTACAAAAACATCAAGGTTAAGTTTAGAAAAAAAAAAGGTTGAATCTGGTATGGTGGTATGGTGACTCAGTTGGTAGAGCTGCTGCCTCTCAGCAAAAAGGTCGTTGGATCAAATCCCGGGCCGAGACCTTTCTGGGTGGAATTTGCATGTTCTCTCCGTGCATGCATGGGTTTTCTCCAGGTACTCCAGTTTTCTCCCACAGACCAAAAACATGCATGTTAGGCTGATTGGTAACTCTAAATTGTCCCTAGGTGTGAATGAGAGAGTGAATGGTTGTTTGTCTCATTTGTCTCTATGTGGCCCTGTGATGGACTTGCGTCCCCCGCCCCTCGCACAGTGATTGCTGGACATGGGCACCAGCGACCCCGTGACCCAAAATGGAATAAGCGGGTAAAGATAATGGATGGATTGATGGATGGATGGATGGATGGATATGGATGGATGCATGAATGGATGAATCTGGTATCAGGATTTAAGATGATCCATTTTACACAAAGTGTGTATAGTGTGAGAATGTTGCATTTAAATGCACTAGACTCATTTTTCACCCTTCTCATTTTTTCAGGCCTCTTCCTGTCACTGTCATTCCTCAGCATAGCCACAAAGTAACACTCCGCCTCAACCAGGAACTTATCTATGTCCACTTAATTATGTCTGAAGTGTCAGCTGGCAGGAGTGTGAGTGTGTGTGTGAAGTGTGGTAGTCATTGGCAGTCTCACCTCGTTAGGACAGAACAGACACGTCAATCACCCCACTGATACTTTTTTTACATTTTTGTCCATGCTGTCTCACCATTATTTGTCTTTTTTTCATCTTGCTGTCTTATCACACCTCTTGCAATTATTCCCCCTCTTCCTCCTATTTCTTGCCTTTTTTTAATAATCTAATTTACTTTTCCCCTGTGCCTTCCTTTTTAATATTTTATGATTTGAACATGATATTTTCCTTTTATGCTTTGTTTCGTGCAGAATGCCAATACATATACCTGTTTTGTTCTGCCTGCTTTTCCCCACTTGCTATATGCTATTCCCCACTCACTGTTAGCCCTTTATCCACCTCTCTGCACTGATGACTGTAACACTTGAGACATGGATTTCCTGTCAGGGCTTTAAGTGCTGCTTGTGACATAAACAGCACCCGTGCTACTTTAGGTCAAGCTTGAGAAGACACAGACGAGTTAAATGGCGTAGTAAAGTGAGAAGAAGCAAGCTGTGAGTATGGTCATGCCTATGGGAAAGCTGAAGCATCTAAACCTTAATATTTAAGATGAAACTAACAGCCATAAAAGAAAATGCATATCACCTCCTGCATGGCCAAAAATGTAAACAAGGATTTCATCCGAACTGTTTGTTTCAACCAAACAATGTAAATGTTACCATGCAAAACCGTAAATGTCCTAATGTTGCTGAATACATCAGGAACTGAATTAACTTTTGGTCTGACGAGATATGATGATCAAGTGGATTAGTACTCTCACAAACTCAATGCTACAGTATGCTATAATGATCTATCTGTGCTTGGCACACATGTACATTTTGCATAGTAACAATTAAGAAAACTAAAGCAAATTTTCAAAGAATCATGCTGCATTTGTTCACATTAACGTGGTGATTATGACAAAGTGTTCATTTTAAGCCTGAAAAACAAAAAAACTGAGCCTTTATTTGGATAGCCATTAGCCTAGCCTGGATGGAGACGTCTGCTCTCACTAACTTCAAAAACTGGCCAGACTATCCCTTTAACTATGTGGCTGATCAAAAAAAATAAAAATAAATAAACATACTAGCTGTAAAAAAATGCGTAAATAATGAGCTCATGTTATTCCACAGCTAATTTGGCTTCTTATTGTGCTCAAACAGATTTCTGTCTTTACCCTGCTGCTACCCTGAGGTCAAAAGGACACATCATATCTTAGTTATTTTCTCATTTGAGGGCCTCGTCGGTCTTTTTGACCCAAGGGCAACAGGAAGGTAAAACTAATCAGAGTAAAAGTGAAATTAACTCTGGATTGTTTAATTATGGCACTCACAACATGTTTTGCCTACTTATAGGTATACCATTGATTTTGTTCTAAGCCGACTGTGTGTGCAGCATGTGTTGTCTTACTGTGCTGTCCCATGAGTTGGTAAAGCTTGGTCAGCATCTCCGTGTGTTCAGACGGTGACTGACGCTGCTCAGGACTGACTCCACTCTGCTTTGAGTGCGAGGGTGGCGTCTTACTGCCGTAGCTGCACACAAAGGATGGAAGAATAGTCGGATAGTTCATGCCCCCGTTCAGTCGCCCAAGCAACGACCCAACTCCTTGTGTGATAACATTTGGGTTGTTGCCGCCATTTCCATTTGTACTTTCTTCCCGGTCCTTCATCTCCAGCTCCTCCCCTGCTCCCTCTTTGTCCATGTGCTCATCGGGCGCCACGCTGACTGTGTGCTGCCCGCCGTTGCTGAGTTGACAGTGTTGATGCTGATGGTTCTGCAGGAGGTTGTGGATTGGCCTCAGCCACATAGCGGTGCCTGGACCGGAGCCTCCGCAGCCTCTGCTGGAACCCTGGCCGTGCCCATTGCCGCCACCGTTGCCGCCACACCCACTGCCATTCGGGTTCACCTTTTTACGCCGTTTACTTTTCAAAGAATGAGAAACAACAGCAAAAATGTCAGCAAAGATAGAAAATTAATCCTACCTGTCTGTTGGGTTAGGGTTATACAAGTGGATGGATCTTAATGGAACCCAAATGTAATAATTTAAATTTATTTCTAGCTCCTCTAATCAGTAATCTATAAAACTAATAAGGTACCTGTGCCACCCGTAGTACATCCTCTGCAGCCTGCGTCTGAATTTGCGGTAAAGGTGGCTAATGTATCGCAGCATCTCTTCGTAGCACGAGCCTGGTTCACTGTAACTGGCCAGGGTGGAGTCGTTGGACATGAAGCGAGCGCGCTGCTCCCTCATCAGAGCGTTCTCTCTTTGCTTTGTCTCCGAGAACTGGGTGGCTATGACCACGAGGCACAAGTTGATCATGAAGAAAGAGCCCACCTGGTTGGGGAAGTAAAAAGCACCCAACAAAGCAAACTTGAGAATATGATAAGACTGTTAGAAATAATAAATTGCAACAATTTGGGACCAGCTGTTTTTGACACCTTGTGAAAAAACACAGGAGCTACAAAATCAATGATAAAGTCACCCTGAGGTTTTCTTTACAATGAATGCTATACTTTTCATCTGCTGTTTTGTTGCTGTTATAATAATATTCTTTTGTTAGACAATCTTATTTTTCACTATGTAATTTGTTGTTAACCTTTTGCTCATACCCTTTTTTCCCTAACAACAAGTCTTTTATCTCCTTTCTTCAGTGCATCATGTCTGCTTTTATATTAAAGAGGAAGGGAAGGAGTTCAGAGTCAAATATAGCCTAAGTTTGAGGTTATACTTCTCAAAACAAAAACAATCAAAGGAGTTATACACAATAAAGAGTATACAAGGTTCAACAAAAGAAGGACATCCTCCAAAGAGAGTTTGTTTACTGATGGAGATTATTCTGTGTTTCTCAAAGCAGGAAAACAGCAAGTGCACACTGAGAGGAGCCATTTGAGGTGGTTCAGTCATCTGGTAAAGATGCTCCCTGGATGCCTCCCTGGGGATATTTTCTAGGCCTGTCCAACTGAGAAGACCCAGGACACACTGGGGAGATTATGCCTCTTGACTGGTTTGAAAACACCTTGGAAGAGCTGGCTGTGGAAAGAGATACCTGGGCTTCCCTGCCGCTGCGCCGTGACTCGACTGGCCTAAAAGGTGGATGGATGGCCCAATAGATGGAATAGCATTTGATGGAATCAGGCTAGATAATTTGTTAATATTATCATATTGATGTCACCTTTGTTGATATAAAGAATTTGTGACAGTGACAAAGAAGTTGAGCTGCTTCTGTTTGTGACTTTAGATTATTGTCCAAGGTGTAGGTGCAGGTGTAGGGGAAAACAAGGAAATAAGTGTCAGTTTCAGGCATACGCGTCTCTTCATTTGTCCAAAGCCTTGATAAACTGTCATTCTGGCGCACTCCTGTAAAAATATCTCCTTTCTTCACAACCTTTTTTTTTTTTTTGCTCAAGCTGAAAACCTTCACGTCTTCCTCACCCACTCCACCCTGCCTGCCATCAGTCCTTTACCTCTCTGCTGCAAAGTATTTTTCTTCAGTGTATTTTCTAGTATCTCACTCAACCACTGTCTCCCTATCTACTCCTTACTTTCTCACGTCATTATCCTTATTTTCCTGGTGCACATCTGCTTCAGCTCTCCCCTGCTTTTACACAGCTACTTCCGATAGCTTACCTTCATCTCTCCGAGCTTTCCTACATCTACATCTGTCAGGCCTAAAAAGCCACATACAGAGAATGAACAGTATCTAGAAGTTCTGTCTTACAGGAAAAATGAATAAATATATAAATGAAATAAAATACCTGACACAGGACCTGGAAGGTTTGTCATCCTTCAGTTGATCAGTGACTGTATGACTAAAAGCACCTGGTTGTGGGGTTTGTGATATTGTGTGAATGCTGAGTCAGCGTTCTGTTTGAAGCCCAAACTACTTCATATCTCATTATATCTGGTGAGATTTTGACTTTTAGTATTTCTAACTTTTATACTTTATGAGGTATTTACTTTCAGTTACAAACAAATCCCCATGAAACACTTTAAGATCTTTTCACCTTCAAAAATGATACTTTGAAATCTCCATCAGCATACCTGCTCTATTTTTCTCTTCTCGTGGTCCTTTTAGCTTTAAGTCCCTGCCTTTCATCTTTTAGCTACAGTTTCACTACATTTAGCCTTCAGCTACTGTTTTTTATTTTTATTTTAGCAGCTGTTCCACTTGTTTTGCTATCAATAATTCACTTAATAAACCATTATTCAAAGAAATATGAGCAGCCATTAAGTGTTGTGACAAAAAAACAATTGTTTTGGTTTTGGTTTATTGTCTTGCTCTTTCACAAACAATGTATTTTCAGCTAACTTTATGTTCAAAGTGAGGTTGTTATTTAACAGAGGTAAAAATTATGTACTTACAATAATGAGCAGTATAAAATATATAAAATTGTAGAAGGAATGAGCATCCATAACGTAATACATGATGTCCACCCATCCTTCCAGAGTGATGACCTGGTGATGGCAACAAGAAGAGAAAAAGAAGAAACTTTAAGTCCAAACATTTCCAAAACTTGGACTTAGAAAACCTCAAACAAAGTCCTTGGAATCTTTTTTAAGTGTGCACATGTGTGTTAGCGAGACGGTGCTGGGGGATTCGCTGCAGCTCTTTCATGTAGCTGTTATGCTAATGAGTAATCAAGAAGCCGAAACTTGAAAGCAGTGACTCAGCTGAGGCCAGCTAATAACACACTGGCACCTCAACTTTACACCCTCAGTCAGAAGAACACATTACAGCAGGAACTGCAAGAATACACACAATAATGGAGTTATGTTCTAAAAGGCTGGGACGTGTAAATCTGTTTGTGAATGAATTAGTTCTGCTTGAACATATCATCTACATTTTTCTGCACAGACAGTCCAAATAAATCAGAAAGAAGATTTTAGTTTTTACATTTTTTGCAGCTTCTACATTTTCCTAACTTTAACTTTTCAGATCTTTATGTTCACTATCTTGTAGGCCCTTAAGGTAACGTCATACTGGCCTTAAAAGTTCATGCTCAATAATCCAGGTAAAACAATACAACAAAGTTCAGTTGGGTCATTTGGATGGTTTCTTTATTTTTTGTTGAGATGTTTCATCCTTCATCCAAAGGACTTCATCAGTTCAAGGAGCCACAAATAAGCCGAGTCCCACAAGCAGCACACTCACAACCAGTTTGCTGGTGATAAGATGGTTTCTGGAGCCCGCCCTCTCCCCCGTCGACTCCTCTGAGGCAGCCATAGCCATCTTATCACCAGCAAACTGGTTGGTTCACTATGTGGGTGTGCTGCTTGTGGGACTGATTTTGTTGTTGCTCCTCGGACTGATGAAGTCCTTTGGATGAAGGACGAAACGTCTCATTAACAAAAAAAGATGACCTGACTGAACTTCGTTGGATTGTTTTACCTGGATTATTGAGCATGAACTTTGATGTTTTGAAGCACTTTGGCTATGGCTGTCTGGGAGAAGTTGATGGGGGAGAGGGCGGGCCCCAGAAACCATCTTATCACCAGCAAATTGGTTGGTTAACCATGTGAGTGTGATGGTTGTGGGACTGAGTTTGTTGTGACTCCTCTGATTGATGAAGTCCTTTGGATGATGTACAAAATGTCTCAACAAATAAAAGAAACAATCCAGATGACCTGACTGAACTTTGTTGGATCTTACTGGACTGTTGGACACTTAAAAATGTGAGAAAAATTTCCAATGCAGTCCAATGAGTGTTTGCAACCAACCAGTGACTGGAGTGGATGTGTTTTTAGAGGGGAACAGGCTATTTTATGTGCATTGTTTGCAAAACTGTATTCTTTGGCATGCATAAACATATTTGAGATGCCTGCAAAGATTCTGCAACTACTTTAAGAGAAAATATGTCAGAACTTTATTGAACGTGTTTAAAATTCAAGTGACAAAACCTCAAGCCTTGGCAGCTCCTGCAAGAAAATTGAGAACCCTCACAGATGTTCCAAGACAAACTCCCTCAGGATTGCTGCTCACCAACTAGTCTCCAACAGTTGACTGCAGTGAGCTGCTGGTTTTTGGTTAGAAATGCAAAATTGTGAGGAAAATACACAAATTTTCACTTGAATCACAATACACGACATGAACACTAACAACACTCAAATTTGCACATAGTGGGTTTTTTTCATACAGTGCTAGCACTCTGGAGTTATGAAACTAAATGATGAAGGATTTAAACACAGTTTCAGACCCATGATGACTCTGGGACTATTCTAAAAAATATATCTTGCAGATTTTTCTGCAAGATAATTTCAGCAACTTGACTCAAAGGAAAGTATAAACCTTAGAAATGCTTCCAAATGTTTGGGACACTTCATTGTGAATGCTGTTTGGAATTTGCTGCCAACAGTCACAGCCCAGTTAGCTTGGATAGAAACAAATTAGGTTTCAGGCTTGGTTGAGAATGGTTCTGAAGCATCATGTCAACACCACACCATACGCCAGTATCCCAAAATAAAATAAAAATAACTCCGTTAGAAGCAATAGGCTGCAATATTTTCTATGCACATTGTACATTACATACACTAGTGTGATAAAGTTATAAACCACCATCTCCATGTACCGCTTAACACACTGTAGCTCTTAAAACAAATACATTCTCTTCATCGTTGCTCTTTTCACGTTATGTCCCTTTTTAGTTACTTTGAACATCTTCAAATGTTTGGGGAAGAGATTTTTGGCTAAACACTGCAAGTAAACAGCTGCTGTGGGATACAAACACACTAATCATCTAACTGGGAAGAAAAACAACTAATCCCACCTAAGACTCCAAGTGTCATTTACAAAACCACTTCAAAAAATATAAATGCAAATGGCAGATGCTAATCTTAAACTCCTCCTGAGCTGAGACCGCACACTGAGTGTCTAAACAGGGATTAATATGTCTGTGTGTAGATGCGTTCAGAAAGTAATGTGAAAGTTTTAGAGACATTTGGAGTCTTATCTATTCACCTAACAGAGTGACGGCAGCACAGAATGTGTTGGGTAAGACAAGATTTGGTTTTTGGGGAAGTGGAGCCAATGGAAAAGGGAGAAAAAAATGAGAGAAATGTAAACTAAAAAGTCTGAAATTAAACACTTAAAGCAGGTGTTTAGATCTTTTGAAGTGAGGTTCTGTGGAAAGGGTATGATCATTTTTTAACCTGTTGCAGATAGCTCTTTGAACGGTCTGTTTAGAGAAATATTTTTTTTATTCAGACCAGAATGATGAGCTAAAGATTAGAACAGACCAAAGTAGATTGCTGCCACCTTTAAAAACCTCCAGTCTACAACATTTCATAATGGTTCATGCAAAAACTAGTAGTTGAAAAACTTCAACACCGCTGTCAGTTTCTATTTTGGGCAGAAATATTAGGATATTCTTGCCAAAGAGTGTCCCCTGGCTTCACAGGAAGTGCTACACCTTCTGCTGCTATTGGATGTAAACAAGTTTGTCAGTGTCTCCAGTCTGTGAGGGGTTTGAATAGTGAATGTTTGTAGTTTTCAAGATGAGTGTTTTTTCTGGACTGGAAGTGAACAGGGAATGCAAGTAAACCTTAATAGTTTGGTTGCAAGATGCTCAAGTGGGTAGGAGTTACACTGTGGAGAAGACCAGAGAGAGTTTTTTATTTTTTTTCCTTGTCTGAGGCTGTGCAGAGTGATGGATCCTGGTGAGGAGAAGGACTCATTTTATCCACCACTAACTGCATGTGCGGAGCCGGAGGGTGGCCAATGGTGGCCTTGGCCACCATAGATTAATCTTCAGCCACCCCACCGGCTATCCAAATTATTAAAGGAAACTATACTTTAAAACAATATAAACACTTGAAAGCATAGTTTCCTCAAATGATTAGGGTGGCTGGTTTACATATATATTGGTGGCCATCTTGAATTTTGACATGGCAAGCCGATTTTCAGTAGTGACCTTTTTTATGCTTAGATGCAGCCTAGATGTTGTGGTATAGCTGAACCACCATCTTTATTCGGCCACTCTGTATTACAGCACAGGATAATACCAATGCAGGCAACTCAATACTGTCCTCTACAGGCCAGGAGTTTATAACATACATCACAGGTAAATCGCCTATTTTTCAAAGTATCAAACAGACGGAGGGTATTTCCAGTTCCTCTCTTTGCTGCCTGACGTGGGACAATAACTGTGCTGCATAACTGACAGTAGTGTAAAGGTTTATAAAACAGTGTTACCTTAAGACTGGAGTTGTTTTAAGGTAACACAAGTCCACTTTGGTCTTGGCTCAACTCTACCTAGCATCATAGCCACTCTACAAAACTAACCTTCAAAACACCCTAAATATAAAATATTTGGACGAGCCTTTAAACACTGGACCATCTCATGTGTCTTCTCACCTGGAATATGGCTATCCAAGCATAGCCAATATTGTCAAAGTTGACAGCTCCCTTGTGGGGGTTGAGCTCCCCGGGGCGACAGACATTGTAGTACTGGTTCCAGTTAATGCAGCCGTTAATGCTGGCCCCTCCCACTCCAGGAAATGATCCAATCAGAGGAGAGCTGAGGAGGGGAGGAGCCAATGAGCACTCCAGTCCGCCCTCAGTGTGGTTTGGCACACTGTGGCAGCGCAACATCCCGTTCTCGCGGGGCGCAGAGCAGATAAACGGGCTGTCTTCACCTTCCTCCGACATGTAGTAAGGATTTATAGACAGGTTGTAAATTCTGGGTAGGAGGGAAAAAAACAGGATTGTTAAGCTACAAGCACATTAGAATGCCATGTTAGATTTTATATGTATTCTTTCAATGAATGCCTTTTTAAATTCTTTATGCAACTTATTGTTCATTGCTGCTCTTGTTTAAAGTATCTTTATGACCTGTCTGCATTAATTTCTGCTATAAAAAAAAAGAATATAATATATTTGTGTCAGGAAGAACAAGTTCACTTATAATAACTGAACTAAAAAGCATGTAATGGGAGAGTGTTTGGTATTTCAGACAGACAGACGGGATACATAATGTATTAGAAAACAGAGACAACTCAAAGCAGCCTTGTCTCTTAAATATTAAGCTTCTGTTTTCTGTTCCTCTCACGCACAGGGAAGATTCAGACACATTAACCGTGGAACAATTTGTATAATCAAAAACAGAACAAATTCAAGCATCTCAAAGTGACATTACTTGCTTCTCGAGGTTTCGAACAAGTTTTGTTTCTTGTTTTCTTGTTTAGTTTGAATCCCTTTAGCTAAACTGGTGAATAATCTTTTCTCCGTCTGATGCATTTGTGCCTGTTTGTCCAAGTTGTTGCCTGATTTAAAAGCAGAGAGTGTTTCTTTGTTGCTAATGTAACTTATGCCATTACATCATAAAGATAAGAATAGGGTTTATTTACTTTTTATTGCAACGCTTAAACTGTGGACAGCCTTGTATCCCTCCATCTGTGGGAACAGAGTTAGGACAGTGTGTCCATTCTGGGCCGAAGCTAAACAGTTTGTTTTTATGAATCTCAGATAAATGTTCTGCACCGTGTTTTAAAGGTTTTAATTAATCCAGCAGTGATGTAGGTCAGAGTTTTATTGTGTTACTCATCACCAGGTAATAAATCTGTTTATGTTTGGCTCTATTCAAATTAGAGTTGCATTCAGGCCTAAAAAATCCAACCTAACCCCAGCATGTAGCCATTTTTTCCAAACCCGACCAAATCTGACCAATTAATTGTTACTAAAGGCCTGAAACCGAGAAAAAAAAAAAAAAAAAAAAAAAAAAAAAACTTTTTAAAATTAAGATTTTACTACTTTTGCAAGCAAATCAGTTTGACATGATATTTTAAAAATGTTTTTCAAAGAAAGGAAGATTAAGATTACTTGATGATATAAGATCTCTTGTTTATTAACAAGTTCCCAAATGGAAATCAACTTACAAAACAAATAGCCTAAAAAATCAACTCAATTTTATTTTTTATTTTTTTCAAAAACTCAATTTTATATTGTGCATTCTTTTTTAGTTTTCTTTGAACTGTATGATTCGTAAAACTGCGTCAAAAGCCGAAGGCGACCTGGCCCACCCATCAAAGCACATACTTTTTGTACAACCCAGCTCAAATTTTGGGTCGGGCCCAGGCTTGGGTTAGAAATCACAGCTTTAATTCAAAAGCATAATTAGATTTTTTTTAATCAAATGTTTTGTCACTTTTTTATTAATAAATTAATAGTTTGGTCATTTTTTTGGAAGTGATCTTCTGTCAAATAGATTTAAACATTTGGTAGCTTAATCATTTACAGAACATAGAGTGTGTCAAAGAAAGGATGGGTCTTGTATTTTTTTTGCAAGAGAAAGGTAAAAAGCAAGACAGTAATTGGTTATTTAGTCAATGGTTTCAATTTATTTTTACTTTATTTTGCATAAGCTTTATTTCTCTACACTTAATTCATTTATCCTGTTGCTAACTTTGGTGTAAGAGACACATCTTGGAGATACTACTAACATATATGTATATATATATTTTCATATATATATATATATATATATATATATATATATATATATATATATATATATATATATATATGTGTGTGTGTGTGTGTGTGTGTGCTAGAGGGAAATTAAAACATTTATAAATGCAGTGGTTTAGTGCAAGTTAAAGTGATACACCTGAATTGCTTACGTTTTTATGTCCTCTCCCAGGAAGCAGCGGTTGCGCAGTAGTCCCGCCCACAGCTGGACGCCCACAATGCCGAAAATGAAAAAGACAAAGAAGCAAAGGAGGAGAACATTTCCCAGCATGGGTAACGTGTCCAGGAGCAGTGTCACCAGGATCCTCATACCTGCACAGTGGGACACAAGCAGCAGAGATGTCACGAGAAACACCATTTCTCACACAGATTTATATTTACAATCATTTTACCCACACATATGTATGTGTATACACACAAATACACACACACACATATATATATGTACATATAAAGAGCTACTGCATGCCACAGTATCACAACTACACTTTTTAGCCGGAGGAATTATTTAAAAAAATGTTTAACTGCAGGAGAAAAATCAGCATAAATCTGCAAATATGTTAATACCTGGAAAGCTAAAACAAAGACCTCAGAGTTTCTTTATCAGGGTTGGACTGAACTGCTCCAGGCTGATCAGAGTTCTCAACACGTTCCCTTCGAGAACCAAAGATGAAATATAGCTTGGGTGCATGAGAGGGAAATGTCTCATATGGTTACTTTTTACACCTATTTTATGTACAGAGGAGCCCCCCCCCCCCCCCACACACACACACAGTTTTAAGACAACTCTAAAAATTACATTTACCTTTATTTTGGCATTACAAATGCATTCAACTGTTACTGTATTTATAAAGGTTAGTCTCACTGAGTCACGAGAACACATTTTCAAGAGAGACCTGCTTTAAACAAAAACCACAGATAGAATGCAGACGACAATAAAACAATCATATAAAAGCATATAAAATGAAAAGTAAATAAAAGAGGTGATATAAAACGAGTTTAAAAAACATGCTACATTATATGTATGAAATAGAGTGCTGTATGAATGGGTAAATGAGGGCACAGATCGCATTGTAAAGCGCTTTGAGTACATTTTAGAAGACAGAAAAGCGCTATATAAGTACATCAGAGTCAGAGTCAGAGTTTCTTTATTGTCATTCGCACCTCATGTGGTACATGTGGTGGAGTGAAATTATGTACACAGGGTCCCAGTTACATCCAACAATAAAATGTATAAGAAAAACAGTAATAACATCTAAGATATGAACTAAGAAAAACATCAACTAAATATACACTAAGCACTCATAACATAAAACATTGAACATCAGCACAAACATGAACATGAGTCTGTGAGCAGATGTGCACGCATGAACACATCAACATTGAAACAGATCAGCAGCAACATGAAACAGATCAGCAGCAACATGATATGGTTTTTCACAGTGATTATTCTAGTTAGAGATTCATGAGTCTAACAGCCTCAGGGTAGAAGCTGTTCCTCAGTCTAGTGGTTCTACACTTAATGCTCCTTAACCTCCTTCCTGAGGGGAGTGGGGCAAAAAGTGTGTGTGCTGGGTGAGTTGGGTCCTTCATGATGCAGGTGGCCCTCTTCCTGCATCTGGAGGTGTAGATGTCTGTGATGGTGGGGAGGCTGATTCCAACAGATTTTTGTGCAGCCTTCACCACTCTCTGCAAAGCTTTTCTTTCTGCAGCTGTGCAGCCTCCATGCCACACATTGATGCTCGAGCACAGGATGCTCTCCACTGCACACCTGTAGAAGGAGGTGAGGACTGAGCTTCCCAGACCAGCTCGCCTCAGCCGTCTGAGGAAGTAGAGTCTCTGATGAGCTTTCTTGATCAGGCTGGTGGTGTTGTTGCTCCAGCTTGTCAGGGTTTTCGAGGCAGATTGGGACAGAAGAACCCAGTTGCGCAGGCAGGACTCAAGAGGCAGATGTATAAAAAAAAATACTTTTAATAATAATAATAATAATAAATCAAAAGGGCTGACATGGCAGCAAAACTTACATGGACTCAAGAAACAGGATCACACAGGCAGGAAAGGAACAGGCAATACCCAACGACGAACCGACAATGACAGAACTGACAGACAGACTTTATATACACACAACCAGGACATGACACAGGTGACGATAATCAGACAATCAATTCAGACACAAGGGAGAACAGACAGGGGGAAGGCCCACTAGATGGTGCCATCCCTACACAGCTGAGGTTGTCATTCATGTGTACACCCAAGTACTTGTAGCTGGAGACCACTTCCACCACAGATCCTCTTATGTTCAGGGGGGTGTAGGTGTTTTTGTTCCTTCTGAAGTCCACAATCATTTCCTTTGTCTTCTTCACATTGATGTGAAGGTTATTCTCTCTGCACCAGCTCTCCAGGTGTTCCACCTCTTGCCTGTAGCTGGACTCATCATTGTTTGTGATGCATCCCACCACCGCTGTATCATCTGCAAACTTTACAATGTGACAGCCTGGATGGGTAGCTGCACAATCATACGTGAGCAGAGTAAACAGGAGGGGACTCAACACACATCCCTGAGGAGAGCCAGGGCTCTGAGGGTTATGGTGGAGGAGGAGAGGTTGTGGATCCTCACTAACTGTGGTCTGTTTGTTAAAAAGTCTAGTACCCAGTTGCAGATGGAGGGGCTTAGTCCTAGTGTGGAAAGTTTGTCCATCAGGGTTTGGGGGATCATGGTGTTGAAGGCGGATGTGAAGTCCACAAAGAGCATACGGACGTAAGAGTTTTTCTGCTCCAGGTGGTTGAGCGCAGTGTGGACCACAGAGGAGATTGCATCCTCTGTTGATCGGTTCTCACGGTATGCATACTGATGAGGGTCCTCGTTGATGTTGATGGTTGTTTTGATGTGAGTCATGACCAGTTTTTCAAAGCATTTAGCGACTATCGGGGTGAGGGCCACTGGCCGATAGTCATTCAGACCAGTCACTGTAGAGCTTTTTGGGACTGGGATGATGGTGGCAGTCTTCAGGCAGGTGGGAACTGTCTCCAGGGTAAGTGAGGTGTTAAAGATGTCTGCCAGCACCTCACAGAGCTGATCAGCACATTCCTTCAACACTTTTCCGGGGATGTTGTCTGGGCCAGTTGCTTTGTGCGGATTAATCCTCCTGAAGGTACTCCTTACTTCTGCTGAGGTCACGCTGAGATGCTCTTCATCCGGTGGTGAGGTGAGTCTGGTGCTGGGTGGTCTGTTCGGGTCTTCAAAGCGTGCATAGAACTTGTTGAGGGCGTACATACATTTACCATTATAAAACAGTGTAAGATACTAAACACAAGAACATGTCTGCATTGGTCTTTACATTGAACTTAACAGTTGTTTAAAATCCCAGAGGTTAAAGTTGACAACTTCAGCTCTTTTTGCAAGGTGTTCCAGGAAACAGGAGCGGAGTAGAAGGTCCTTTTGCCAAATTCGGCCCACACTAAGGGGACACTGCAGGTAATTATGTCCTGAGTGTGCACGCTGTAGCTGCACTCATGCAGTGACATGTAGGAGGAGATGTATGAAGGCAACAGACCAAGAAGTGATTTAAAGATGAAAATGTACCAGTGAGAGAGTCTGTGTGAAGTTAACCAGTTAACCAGTGAATACAGGGTGCAGACTAAAGTTACAGCCAGTTATTAATCTTAGCGCACCATGATAGACAGCATCCAACATCTGCAAGGTGTTTGCAGGAGCATTCGTGTAAATACTGTCACCATAGTGAATGGAGGGAAGGAAAGTAGCAGTTACAAGGTGTTTCCTAGCATTCACAGTTAAGCAAGAACTATTTCTGAAAAAGAAACCCAATTTTTTTTCCAGTTTCTTCACCAAGTTTTTGGCATGAGGCTTAAGAGAGAGATGTGCATGAACCAAGATTTCCAAGTACTTGTAAGAGTCGACAAACTTAATAGGAACACCATTCGTAGAAAAGATAGAAGGAAGGACTGCGGGGACCGACTTCCTGTTTGAAAACAACATCCCTTTGGTTTTATCAGCATTTAACACCAGTTTGAGAAGGAACAAATCAGACTGGATGATGTCGAATGCAAACTGTAAAAACTATAAAATCTTAGCAACTGTTCTAGCTTGACAATAAACAACTGTGTCGCCAGCGTAGAAAATACACGTTACTGTATATCAGTTGAGTAGGTTGATGATATTGTGCAAAAGGTGCATTAATGCTAATAATACAGTGTTTTACTTGCCTTCTTTGAATGAATGCATATCACCCCTTACCTTGCAGGCCAGAGTTTTAAACAAAGCTCTCGTTAGGAGTTATTTACATATGTGTTGTGCTAACCATCAGCAAATGTTTGATCAATATCTGTCACACTAATTCAGTTATAGTCAGTTTTGTGCTTGATAAAGTTAAAAAGCTGAGGCATCCATCTTAAATCATGTTGACTCCAAAAGGTAATCAGTTGTAGATGTGCATCCAGTGATTATTGTCTGGGAGTTTCATTATGGCTGGAAAGAACATTGCAGTCCACTTAAAAAAAAATTAAGTGTAATGATTTAAATCACTTCCATTATTTTGTCAAATTTATGTAAAAATTCTAATTCTAACAATAAGAATTGATCTGAAAGAGTCTTAAGAGTTGTCCAAATTACATTTTTTCTCCAAATTATGGGCTGAATACTGTATATGAGCCACACTTTTCTAAACATTTACTTCTCACAGCTGGTGATCTTGTTTCCTAAGAAGTTCTCGCTCATATTTTTTAGAACCAGCTAAGTGACACTGCGGAGAAAAGGCAAAATATAATTTCTTATTTTTCTGTTTAGCTCCAGTCAAAGTAAGATTGCAGCCCAAATAACTTGCTATTAGAGCCTGAAGAATAAATCTAGGTGTTGCACACAGCACTAAAGCATTCTGATGACTGATTCAAGCAATCAGAAAACATGTTTGTGTGCGCACACTCACAATGTACAAACACAACTGCAAATTATCAGCAGTTGGCAGATAATTCGCAGAAGCCCCCCTGCGAGCTTCAGCCCTGTTAAAATGAAATAAACAGAGCGCAGCTCTTTGTGTCTGAGCTGCAGAGGAAATACATGCTCAACATCTGTGCAACAATTCTCCTCTTCACTGAGGCACAAAGACAAACAAAGATAGAAGAGAGGCACATTTTAGACTTTCTCTGAACCTCGGGTCTACAAACACCCCCATCTGATCCTAATAGATGAAAAATAAAGGCACATTTGGAAAGTAAGCTGATGTTAAACATCCTCCAGGGGTCTCTGGATCTGTCCACCTTGGAGTCTGTGGATGTGAGCTCCGGGGTATGTTTGCTCCACATTTCTTTGACAATGACCTTGACTTTTCCAGCCCAGAGTAATAATTATCACTGTCACCCATATTTGCAGCTGAATAGGAAATGAGGAAATAGGAGGGAGGAACGCTGCACATTTCTTCAAAATTTAACAAGATAAGCACCTAAAACAATTATTTGATTGCTCAACGTTATAGCAAAGGTGTGTCTCAGTAGAATTTTTACTTAATAAATGCACTTCAATGGTCAAATTAGCTACATTTTGCCCAAGCAACGCAACGCAATGAAGCTGATTTGACGGCTGCTCCAGGCGAGCTGGACGAAGGTGGCAGGTTATGACAAGCCAATTGTGTTATTAATAGCCACTTTTATCTATTACATGCCACAACAGCATGCCATAATACTTGAGTGTCATCTAGCGGCTGAAAATGGTAGTGTTCAATATTTTCAGGCATAATTAATGAAAACGGTCATTACTCAGCCAAAAATTGGTTCATAAATATGGGAAAAATCCATAAATATGTTGCTTTGGCGTAAAAGTCACAAAGTCACAGGACATGCAAATTATGCAAAAAAACATGACTTATAGGCAGAAAAATATGGTATACATTACAGTACATACTAAAAATCAATAATAATACAACTTTTAAGGTGCCTTCCATGGCACTCAAGAACACCGTACAATAAAATGCAATGTAAAATGCAGTAAATATAAATTAACCACATAGCATAACATTAATATAGGTGTTGTGGTGGTAAAGAGATGAAAAAGAGAATCCAGGCAGGATGGAATGGATGGAAAAAAGTTTCAGGAATGAGTTGCAACAAAAGGGTGTCAGCAAATGTCAAAGGAAAAGTTTACAAGACAGTTGTTAGACCAGCAATGTTGTATGGTCTGGAAACAGTGGCAATGACAAAAATTCAGGACAAAGAACTGGAAGTGCCAGAAATGAAGATGTTGAGGTTCTCCTTAGGAGTGACAAGGCTGGATAAGATTATGAATGAGATCATCAGAGGTACAGCACAGGTTGAACAACTGGGAGTTAAAGTTAGATAGACCAGACTGAGATGGTTTGAATATGTCCAGAGGAGGGACAGTGGGTATATTGGTAGAAGGATGTTAGAAATGCAGCTACCAAGAAAAAGACAAAGAGGATATATGTGGATGCAGTTAGAGAGGACATGGAGGTTGTTGGAGTGAGGACAGAGGATGCAGAGGACAGAGTGAGATGGAGGAGGATGACTCGCTGTGGTAACCCCTGAAGAGTGAAAAACCGAAAGAAGAATAAATATAGGTTACATGTTACATGGAGGTTAGCATGAGTAAGAATCTTTTAAGATGCGTACATTTTGATGTGGGATTTGGAAATGGTGATGGTGGGAGAGGTTTTGATGTTCATGGGGAGAGAGTTCTAGAGGTGGGGTGCTGAGCGACTGAATGCTCTTGAGCCCATAGTGATTGGATGAGCAGGTGGTTGGGTGAATTGGGTGGAGGAGGAGGACCTGAGAGTACAAGTGGGTGTGTTGATGTGGAGGAGTTCTCTAAGATACTGAGGAAGAGGATTGTTGAGGGCTTTGAATGTGAGAAGCAGGATTTTGTATGAAATATGATATATATTGTAACTGGGATCCAGTGATGATGCTGCAGGACAGGGGTTGTACAAGTGGTGGAATGAGTTCTAGATACAATGCAAGTGGCAGAGTTTCAGACCAGTTGGAGTTGATATAAGGATTTTGCAGGTAAACCAAAAAGAAGGGATTTACAGTAATCTAGAAGGGATGTGACCAAGGAGTGAACCAGAACTGCAGTACTGTTGGGTGAGAGGGATGGACAGAGGTGAGCAGTGTCACAGGGTGAAATTATGCTGAACGAGGGATACCAATATGAGATTCAAATGATAATGTGTTGACTAGAATGGCATCCAGACTCAACATGAACGAGAAAACTGAGGTGGCATTATTGCAAATGGAAAAGTCACTGGTTTTAGTCATAATTGCATTATTTTCTATTGTCTAGTAAACAAACCAAATGCAAAAAAAAAAAAAACTGAAATGTATTGAGCCAAAGAGCTCCTGAGCTGTTACCAGCAGCTCAGGAGTGGAAAAACAACTTGCTAACTGGTTAATACTGATGCAAGTTTGTTATGACACCACTGTCTATGGAAACTCTTTAGCTGTAAATTTATTGCCTCTTCTGTTAAAGAGCTTTTAGTTAAATGACAAATTATGTGTGAGTTTTTCTTAGCTAAATACACAAACAAATGCCAAACTCTCCTGCGTTATCAATCAACGCACCACTAAACAGTGGGAACGCAAACGCAATATCAAGCTGTACACTGTTCAAAGTAAACAAACTGAAATAAAACAGGCTCATGGAAATAGACAGGGCTCTATAAGAATAATAAAAGTTGAATCAGTGTACAAAATGTGAACTATTTGTAATAAAAGATGATGTGATCAAATGATGTAAAGTGTATCAGCAGGGATGAATCAAGGTACTTTTGATGTGGTAATAAATAAAGTATCTACATCTTCATGTGGTACGCACAGTGTATGTACCTTTTTTGAAAAATAACTATATACAACCCACATGATCTTTAAATGTGGAAAAGCATTTGCTTACAGGGCATGTTGAAATATGTGACATGTGAAATACCTGGCATTATGTGGTTTTGGAACATGTTCATGGTAAAAAAAAAAAAAAAAATGTGCAAAACCCAAGAATTATATATAAATCTATGAAATTACAAGTTTTTCACATGTTAAAGATCCTGAACATTTCCATGGCAACCTGGTGCACTTTATGTTTCTGTTAATCACACGTAACAATAATGCAGTTGTATTCTATCTCACATAAGCACTTTGGTAACAGTTCCTGTTTTAAATGTGCTATACAAATAAATTTAACTTGACTTGACATACTTTAGATTCAAAGTCAAGATGGAAAGAAGAGGTCACCTGGTGAATAAACATGTTTATCTCACTATTAAATAATGAAATCATGTTTCGATGCATCACAACCCCCGAGATTAGATGCAAAAATATACACGCGTTCCAAAATCTATGCATGATCGATGCATGACCGGTTAAAGATGGCGGTGCCAGTGTGTTTAGCTTCCTGCCTCTGCAAACCTTGATTGTATTTATGTTGTTTTTTAGGGTTTCAATTGATTTTATAGGTTTTTTTTATGCTTTTTATGTGTTCTCAGTGTGCAGCACTTTGGCCAAAGGTGTTGATTTTAGAAGTGCTGTATAAATAAAGTTGAATTGTAGTGTATTATGGTCTTTTCAATAATCAGGATCAGTGGAGACACAGATTGTTAATAAAACACTAGGTCTTACTTGGTACTCTGTTGATGGCCCGCAGCGGTCGAAGTACTCGAACAGTACGGATGGCTGACAGACTGGCATTGTGGCCGTCCAGAGAATACTCCATCACCCTGAGGAGACGGTTGCAACAACAACAAAAAAAGAGTTTTACTTGACGCACTGCACTTCAAGGAAGCTAAAACGATGCACTCATGCACACCTATATATATTTACACAAAGCAACAACATGAGGGAAAGGAACACTAATCATGTGACGAGGCAGCCCACATAACGACACTGACATTTAATTACAAAGCTCCACATGCACTCCTGACTCTGGACAATTCATTGTAGTCCAAAACATAACCAAAAAAAAGACAATTTACAAGAAGTTAGAAGGAATAATTATGGTTTTTACTGTGTTTTGTGTTCTGCTTTGTGATTGTGCAAGTTAGGGAAGAGTGGTTTTGGCTGTGGTCAGGTCAGAGAGTGAGGGAGCAGCTCCAGAATTACCTGCTCATGATTGGTTCCTGACCTGGCCCGAACCTGTGCACCTTCTCCATGAGACTTACGCCAGCAGGAAAAGTGCTCTTTTAACCAATTTCTCAACTTAGTACTGCTGAACGTTGAGGCTGAACAAATAAGCTTTTGAACTACATGGTGATTGAAGATGTAACAATTTAACTTTCTTTTTTTTTAAGTTGCTTTTATTCTTTTCATAAAACAATAAAAACACCTATAATTTGTCCTACAGTCAATATTTTGTTCAGCTGCTGAAGAATAACCCATTCAACACTGGTAAGACTTTATTAGCTAAGCAAACGGCTGCTAGGATACTAAAAGGTATAGTTCAACTCACACATGCAGCCTTCTCCCATTTGCATTTTATTTGGAAAACCTGGTGTTTTCATCATCCTAATTATGGATTTTCCTTTCAATAAATACGTCATAAAGTCTAGAAAATAGAGTCAGTGCAAGAAAAAGGAATACGATTGTCCTTGTCGCAAAAAGCTTAAGATTTCCTACCAATACTGTTGTGATTTAGCTGCTGATGGGGAAAAAAATGGAAAAATGCAAAGTAAACACTAACCCTGCCATGACAATGACAAAGTCCAGCTGGTTCCATTTATCACCGAGGTAACAATTTGAGCCAAAAATTCCAAGGGCCACCATCTTGATGACCATTTCCACGGCGAAGAAAGCGAAGATGCAGTCATCCAACACCTGGTGCCACAGGACCAAAGCAAACACATAAAACAGGCGTTCAGCACTGATAATACCAGCTGAAAATCACTTGTCAGACTCTTCGTACATGGCTTTATCAGTGCTGGAAGACAATTTATTTTAAAGAAACAGAAACATCACATCTTGTGTAAGAAGATATTTTGTTGAACTCGAGCAGAGAACAGTTCAGGCTTATTGTGCTTGTAGTTGTGCTTCAGTTAATTAGCCTGTTTTCACAGCAAGAGGAACATCTGTACTTGAGTTTAGTGGGCACATCCCAGGGTGTGAGGAAATAAACATACGAGACAGAAGCAACAAACAAGTCTGATAAACTGTAAGACTCAAAGGTATGTCATTTACTTAAAAATAAGGTACAAAAAAAATGTGTTGGTATTTATTTGATGCCAAACAAAAGGTCAAAAGTAACAAAGCATAAAAAATGTGTAAAGACAACATAAACAAAGTGTTACACGTCACAACCAGCCTCTTAGGTGAGTGTCAGTGGACATGAGTGGAGCTTAGTGAAGGCTTAATAGGTTATTTAACTGTGTTTTTAATGTTGAAAGTTATTTAAATGCAAGCATAAATGACCTTTCTGGTTTTCCATATATGAATTGTGATTTATAAAGCCTTCTGTATATCCACCAGTTCCATAGTTTAACAGCACCCTAAAACTTTTCTCTGCCAGTATGAAACGAAGATTTTCAAGCTTCTGCTGTCATCTGGACCAGCCATGTTTTGCTTTGTTTTGTCATAGAGTGCTTTAGAAGGTAAATCTCTTTGCTCCTGTTCATCTTCTATTGTGGCAATAAATGAACTGCAAATTATATATATATATATATATATATATATATATATATATTTATTTATCT